CCATTGCTACTAGGTTGGAGGCCAATGCTAGTAGAACCGAACAAAAAAAGAAACGAAGGAACCGATAGAAAGGTCTATAGTTGGCTATTTGATGCTTCGCAGTTTGGACACACTCTGGTCCCAGGCGTGCTGCGTTGAGGGCCGCATTGAACATGGTGACCTATCCGACAAAAGGGTGGAGATGGGAGAACAAGTAGGTACTAATAGCGATGCCCTTTGCTCCTAGTAAGGGCAGGAGCCCCTAGTAGCGTCCTTGCTCCTAAAGTCAAGCAAACTCGGATTTTTGAACACAGGAGTGCAAGTGTCAATCATCCACCCTCCGAAACCTACGTCGATCTACTTCTCTTACTATTCCTACTATCCGATTACTATCCCTGGCAAAATAGGAGCATGTGCTGAGCTTGCTAGGTTTTCCCTGGTTTTCCTGTCCCTGTCCTTCTAGCTCATAACTTCAAGAAAGCAAGCGGCTCAAATTGGCCAGCTTGGGGTGCAAATGGGTTGTTTCGGTTGTTTCTGCTCTCAAACGCCACTAAGTGGTTCCGTTGGTTTCTTCCTTCCGCTGAGCACGAGGCCGTGTATGGCGCATTTAACTTGAAGAGTGTGTCCTGTGCTTCCGGTGCTTCAGAGCCAAATCCTCTAGCGTCCTTGTTCCTAGTAGCGTGGCACTTGTTTCTAATAGCTTCTTGTTCCTAGTAGTAAGGCCAGGAGCCCCGTTCGTAGCGTCCTTTGCTCCTAGAAATGCACAAATAAGCCAAAAGCCGGTCTCACCCTTACGCCAATTGGGGCAGTCCAGCAGTTGCCGCGACCAATCCCATCGCTCACTACGCTCTGCGACCTCGACGTGCTTAAGCTGCGCGAATGCGTGAAGTGAAGCACAAAGCGGGAACGAAATGGAAACTGGTTTCGGAAGTCACGTCAGTTAACATTCGAACACGGTTGCAGAGTCGAGAGTCTAATCCGGTCTCATTGAGCATGGATAGTGTTCAATTGGGTGAAGGACTTATGAACAGTAACTATATGTCATTATGTAATACAATGTACATATAGTGAACCTTAGTATGAACATCAACGAGAGGATATCAACACACTTTTTCGTTTTTGAAACGAGAGGATATCGGGACCGGAGTGGAGGTGCCTTCACGGAGCGGAGGCGCTCGCGGCTAGCGGCTAGGCACTAGGCGCCCGTGCTAAGAGCAGCATATCATAAGCGTCGAAGTCAGGGGTGATCTTGTCCTCTCCGAAGGAAGCGCTGAAGCTACGACCGGTGGAGGCCATCGCTATTAGGCTGCAGGCCATCGCTAGTAGGTTGGTGGCCATTACTACTAGTATCAAAAAGCTATGACCTGAACTCAGAAGACGTCAAATACAAACAAAGTTCAATCGATGGCCAATGTGAAACGTGAACACTTCGTTAGAGGATTCAACAGGCCGACATGATGCATCACGATGATCATGAATCATGACGGCTGCTGTGGCTTGATATCCCTTATTATGATCTCTCGTGAATCTAGATTAACATCCTCCGTGTAGTCACTCTGGTCGCCTCAAAGCATTGATCTTGGTTTGCGATTTTTTTGCTTTGATTTGCATCATCCGTCCTCTCGCATATCGGACCAGTATCGGATGGCAGACGACCAGGCGGTCACCTGTGTCCAATCTCAAATGCAGCAACTTGCATGCTTCTCCAAACTTGTTTGATAGAACCTTCGCACAAGCAGTTTTCTCCCACGCACAACCTTTAAACATGTCAAGAAAATATGGCTGGAGAGCGTCCCACTCGACAAAAACCCTACCAGTGCCCTACCGTAGAGACTACATGAGACCACCATCCCTTAAACTTCCAAGTGCAGCACCTTCCGGTGCATACTCGTGCTATCACATCTATTACGTGGGTTTTTAGGAGAACCGCCGTGTTTGATCACTGCCTCTTTGTTTCACAGCTCTCTTTTGTGAAGACCCACCCGCCTCACTCGAGTCCTCAGCGAGGAGTGTGTCTTTCACAAAACCGCATAGAGCACGACACTCGGCCGCTTCGCACCGAGGCACAGCACAAGCATAGAGCACCATGCAGTAGCTCTGCACATTGGGAGGTGGACCCTGACGCACTACATGCTCTCTCCAGACGCCAACCCTGATCTGTCACGCCGAAAACAAGTAATAGTACAAAAACAATGTTCGAGCCAGAATTTGTTTTGATTCTGGACACGATGACATACCATGACACCCACACTGCCATCCAATCGTCCCTGAACCACTCCTCTGACTGCATCTTGGCAAAGTGCCGAAATGCCTACAACGTGGGTCAACATGATCAGCCGAAAGATGCCGAAAGGAATCGAAAAACACATGACATCGGATGACCTTGTGATGGTTGATAAGGGTCTGCACTTTTGACAAGAATCGAATGTGCCCCGCGGTTGCAATAATAGATTGAATTAAATCACACCGAGGCAAGCCAATTGGGTGTCGATCCGACTTCGCAAGTTAGAAAGACAATTCCTTCAGGCAAATATTCCAAACACCTTCTGATCAGCATGCGTATCGGGCCAGCGACACTTAGACCTGACTTGACAAAGCATCTCGAGGTAGGCCCAACCTCTTCCCAGCGATTTCCGGTGATGTAGGCCAAAAGCACTTCGTTGTGTTCCTCCACGGTGGGCTCCAGCTGTTGAACCTCACATCTCTGTCGATTTCGTCGGTTCACTTTCACACTTTCGCCAAGAGACGGTCATGTCTTCGAAGAGACCCAAGGCCGCCTCATAGCTGTACCTGTGTGTGAAACTGACAAAACCTGAAACGAAAACTACCGGCGCTCTGACGTCCAGGGCACAAGCCACGATTGCAAGTGCGCATGGCTTCTCGATAGCTAAGGCGGTCTGAGCGTCCAAAGTGAGCAATGCTGTCTAACTCTCTATGCCAGATTTTTTGCAACTTCTACTTTACATTCTGAGACTATCTTCATCTATCTTCTGTATCTGCCTTTCACTTTTCATGCCAATATATGCCAATTACCTTCCTGAAAGAACCTTCTGCCTTCTGGGATTCGTTGATATCGTCACATCGCCAAATCAATCTATCACCTCTACCCAGAATCTGTGCCGACTCGCAACAAAATACGGCAAACAAAAGCAGGGAGCGCTACCGGACCTGGTCCAAGGGATGTCTTCATCTGCTCCAAAAGATGCAAACACAGCTTCCAATAGAACCGCCTCGGAGTCAGGTGTAGGGTGTCTCGATCAATCGAGGGCCTTCCTTTCGGATATTGCCACATCCGATTGTCTGACTGAGGCTGGACGAGCAAAGCTGAACAGGGCCACAAACGACAAACAAATGAGGTTACGTAGGTGCCAACCATGTTCAATTTTGCAAAGTAGCCGCGGCACAAACAAGTGTTCAAAATCCAACCGTAGATGCTTTAATCGATTGGATGACATCAACTCAGTGAAAATTGGACAACCTGGAAGAGAGGAATCATTGTGCTCATCTTGTTTTCTTCGGCCACATTTTTAGATATTTTCACCCTGACCCTGGCCTGCCTTCGCGTGGCTTCACGTCGCTTTTGTAAATCGTTGCGTAACTGGGCTCTCCAGGCGGACACGCCTTGATCGCCGCCCGATAATCCTCCAAGGTCTGAGGAGAGCCCTCGGTGACAGTGAGGGACAGGAAGGGACTCGGACCTAAAAAACGAGAAAAAACACGACATCGTTTAAGCAACATGTGTGTATCCGCCGACCCCGGCCTATAGCCAAAGCCTAGGCGGGGAGGCGCCTGGGACACCGCAGGGTGAAGCAGTTGGCCAAGTCTTCAAACCCCTCGGCAGCAGGCCTGCCTCTTCTCTTCTAATCGCAGGCCTGCCTCTTCTCTTCTTATAGGCTTCCAAAAGCGACGTTTTGGCCTACTCCTGCACCGCAGCCTTGCCCTCTTCCTCTTCTCGGCAGCTCGCAGGCCTGCCTCTTCTCTTCTTATGGGCTTCCAAAAGCGACGTTGGGCATTTTGCACCGCCTTCAAACCCTCCCCCGCGACTTCAAACCCTTCCCAGCGCCTTTGGCCTACTCCTGCATCGCAGCCTTGCCTGCGTCAGGCGGGAGCCTGGGGAGAGAGCCCTGGAACGTGCAGCCCGTGCTCCTATGGGCTTCCAAAAGCGACGTTAGGCATTTTGCACCGCCTTCAAACCCTCCCCCGCGGCTGCAAACCCTCCCCAGCGCCTTTGGCCTACTCCTGCACCGCAGCCTTGCCCTCTTCCTCTTCTCGGCAGCTCGCAGGCCTGCCTCTTCTCTTCTTATGGGCTTCCAAAAGCGACGTTAGGCACTTTGCACCGCCTTTAAACCCCCC